AAAAAAAAAAAAAATTAATTCTTAAAGGACATTATGCTAGTGGTTAAGGAAACCAATAGTTCTCGAGAAATTTCTATACATTTTGGGTTTATAAATTTAACCTATCTTTTTTTTTTTTTTTACATGCTATATCCCGAAAATGTACTAAGTAAATATGGTTGGGAGTTAAAAATGTTCAGGGCCCCTGAAAACCTCACGAGAACTGAGATCTGGACCTTATATTTAATATATATTATATAAAAAAATTATTTTATATAAAAACTTCTATTTTTCTTGAAGCTGACCCTAACCCTAAATTTTAATAGGGGTGGTTATGGCATAAGAAATAATAATTCCAATATATATATATATTTATTTATATTCGTATACTATTTGTGTATGCATGGGTACGCTAATACAGTTTCTCAAAACCTAATTATCTTTTGGGGTTCTAATTGCATAAAGCATAACTGTTTCCCAACCCTAAAGTTTACTTTACCCCAATTCATTAGCCGAGTTAAAACAATAATTTAGCACCCGTAAATAAATAAATATAATTTATAATATATACTTATTCAAAATATATATTTAGTTTAAAATAGTATTAAATTAATTAAATAATATATTAATTATAGTTGTTGTTTTTTAAATTGTTACATTAATATATTTTATTATTATAATAAATTAATAATACATAAATTTAATGTAAAAATGTTTATAATATACGTAAGTATTTCAATATATATATCTGATATATATATTTAGTTAAAATAAGTATAATTAAATAAAATATTATAATGATTTTTTTTTAATTTGTTATATGGAGTCTTTGCCTTGAAAATCACGTTATGCGGTTGCGAGATATTGTAAATCGTATGTCACACAACGTGATTTTCAAGGCGAAGTCCCAATATTAATATATGTTATATTAAAAATAATAAATTAATATATAAATTAATATAAAAAATATATATTTAATAACTTCTAAAGACAGCTAACAAAGATATATATTAATTGAACTATAATATAAAGCTAAATAAATTTTAGATAATAACCATGTAAGTGCCGGTATATGTTTTTTAATGAATTCGTTAAACCACACCAGTCGTATTCAACATGTCTCTAACAATATACAAGGAATTAATGCTTAATATTTTAAGCAAAAAATGTTTACCTCCGACCAATATTGATCTAATTTCTAACCAATATCACTATAAAAAATGGCGTGACGTCACTGGTGTGATTTGAAATTTTTGGTTTTTATTATTAAATTAAATTAAATTAAATTAAATTAAAATGTATATTTTTAATTTTCTTGGCTCGGCCCGGCCCGGCCCGTAATACGGGTCGGGCCGTGCCAAGCCATGGGACCCTTTAAGCTGCGGCAAAAGAGTATATCTTGTCATAAATTTTTAGGATACTAGAGGATATTCTTTCTAGTACCTTCTAGTACCCTGGAAAGTCATACCATCCATAAATACATATACAATCAGAACATTTACGTACTTATGTACGTCCACATTTCCAAGTTTATATTACACATTGTGCATTCGTAAAAAAAAGAGAAACAAGATATCGATATCAATATCTATTCTCCTGATTTAGAAATTGTTAGACAAACGCCCCTTGTGCAAGCATATTATTGCTTAAAAGTATACGCGCTTTATTCACTTGTCGGTAATACAAACTTATAAGTGGAAGCTTCGACATGAAGATAGAGTTTTGAAGTTAGAAAATTAAGGTAAAGTTTATAGTAATAAATTATTATTGTTTATTACCTTGTTATCTATAAAATTTCAATCCTATTGTTTTTAATTAACGTCTCAAGATCTATTTAAACATTAGTCTTTCTCTTTTTTTTCTTTTCTTTTTTTTTTCTTTTTTTTTTCGCTCATGTTTTGATTCTATTATCTTTTTTAGATTTTGTATTACTGTATTACGAACATATTACCTGTTATGTAAAATGACAATGTACACACACGCATGTGACTGATAATCATATATATGTTCCAGGAACCTAGGAAGTCACTTAATTGACCACAGCAATCTTTTTTGTTTAAATTAAAAGCTTAAATCCGGGTATAAATTTTAATAATGAATTTTATTTGAATTTATTCTTAATGCAGAATTATGCCTCCATTTTCACTTTTAAAAATCTAATATTATTTGATTTTTAATACAGAATTATGCCTCTATTTACACTTTTTAATCGGATTCGAATTGGCTCCGAAATAATTTCAAAATCTTTTTACCGTTATGCAAAGTTTTGCGCTTCTCATAAAATATTAGTGATTTTTCTGGCAATCTCTATAGTCTTACCTCTGTGTTATCCTGCTTTTAATGCTTATTACTTAAATCCTGTCAGAAATATCGGGCATACGTTTTTTTGGGAATCATCATCTAGATCACAAGTTTCAAGAAAATCTTTTGTCGAGAAATATGGGATTCAACCTTCATTTCGCGTAGAACAGGTTATGATAACTAACTTGAGAAAACACAATATGGGTAGTGATGTTAATATTTTGAAAAAAGATTTATTATTGTTGATCTTAAATTTGAAAGAGGAAGTTATGGATACTTTCGTAATGTGCTCTAACCTTTCACCTACTAAGGAATTTACCCTTTCAGATTTATGTCTCAAACCTTTTAATAATAACAACACATGTTTAATTCATTCTCCATTCGTTTATTGGCTAAATAATTCTGACTGTCTTTCTTCTGATTCTTCTATTCTTGAAACACTCTCGTTGAAAAGGGAAGCATCTTCTGGAATGTTCGTTCCAATAAACTCGGTCTTTGGAAATGTTGTGTATGATAAAAAGAAAATTGTTAGTGCGGATTCAGTTATTTTAACATATTTTTTGAAAGACATGGAGGATTGCAATGAATGTCAGACAACGACTATTTGGGATGCGATTTGGAAAAAAGTTATAAATGATAATGGCACTAATTTTCGTCTCGCTGATGATCGAATTATAAAGATAAATATGAACAACCAGGGAGAAGTAAACCATTTATCTTTTAATGTATTAATTTTATTATTTATATTTGCATTTGCACTGTAGTCTTGTAACTTTCATTTATATTAACTAATTAATTAATTTCATAGTTAGAACAAAATGATTTTCCGAAATTTTCAACAGAACAGATTCTTCTTATATTGGTGTACCTGATTTTTTTCCTATGCACGCTCTCTATTGGTCGTCCTAATTCCGTAAAGCCTAAATTTGGTCTCGTTTTCTTTACTGTGGCTCACGTTGTTGTTTCGTTAATTATGTCACTTAGCATCTGCTCTTTATTTGGTGTTACTTTAACATTTACCTCTATATCTTGGTATGTTGGCATCTTATTAATATAAATGCATTGATCATCATATATGTACAAATAATAATAATTTCTTTTACTCAGGAAACTATTACCTCTTGTCTTTATTTTGGCCGGTATTGAAATTATGTTTATTTTAACAAACGCAATAGCAGCGACACCCATACAATTAAATATAGAAGAACGCATCGCTTTAGGTAGTATCTTATATACTATCTTATCGTTTTTTTTTTTTTTTAATGTTCACTCATATCGTCTTTGTCTTTTTTTTTTAGGCCTTGAAAAAGTTGGGTATACTATTACAACGATGCGTTTAAGTTGGCTTCTGTTGTTGCTGCCATTTTCAGTGACAGACATTGGTTCGATTAAAGAATTCTGTATTTTTACTTCTATTGCTATGATTATCGATTATATTTTACAAATGTCATTTTTCGTAGCGATTTTGGTAATTTATTTTGAAAGATTAGAGCTAGAGGTACAATATTTACATCAATTCTATATATTTATTGTTAATTTACATGGTACAATTAATTTAATTAATCTTCTTTAATAATCTTTAAACAGATATCTTATTTATATAATAATTCTGATAAAGAAGTCTCTCTTTCACAAACAAACAATTATAGTCGTAAGATTGGTGGTTTATTGGTGGTATGCATAAATTTTATGAACTTTTTTGTGTATATATGTATATGTAAATTGAATCGTTCCTTTTTTCTACAAAGGTTCTTATCTTCTTGGCTGCCGTGACAAATATTCATAATATTAGCATTGGCTCGCTAACTATAAAGTCCGCATTAAGAAATTTACTTGATAACTTTATAGATTTTTCTGCTATACATACAAATATTACTTATTGGGAATCATCAATGGATGATGAGTTTTGGAACATTGTTAATCTGGACAAAAAAAATCAATTTATTGAAATTCGACCTACTAGATATTTGACTTTATCTTATGCCGCTGAACATAATAATAATGGGTCATTTAGTTCATCTGATGACAATTTGAATTGGAAGTTAATTAAAGTGTCCATAAAATCTTTAGTTTGGTTTTTCAAATTTTTTATGTTCCCTATTATTGGCATAATAATTGTAATGTCATTTCTTATGGGTCTTTTATTACCAACGGACTTGGTAATTCGAATTTCTAGATTTTTAAAAAGGTTAAGAAATAATGATGCAAATGAAATCACACCAACAACTTTTAAAAATTCTTCTACTCTATATGACACCGCACCTCGAATTGTAACTTTACGTGGTCGTCATTCAGCTGATGTGAATTTACTTTGTGCGAACTTAAATGGTGTTATAATAACAAGCGCTACTGACAAACATATTACATTATGGGACGGAAAACAAGGTGTACCATTAAGAAAACTTGAAAGATATATGCGTCGCTGTGAAACGTGTAAATGTGATAGTACTGGAGGTATGAAAAATTGTATTTCATGGCCAGTTAGGGCAATGTGCATGAATGAAAAGCTTGAAATTGCTGCAGCTGGTTTTGACGATGGCGTAGTGAGAGTATGGGATATAAAATCAGGGCAAGTAACTTTTATTTTGAAAAGCAATGGAAACACTGTTGAAGATGTTGAAGATATCGAACAAAAAATGTCAGCAACTAATAATAATCATTCAGTAAAGGAACGAGTAACGTGTTTGCAAATTATAGTACCAATCTTAAATCTTCAGAATACGTCTAAATCAATAACAGATCAGAAAACACCAGCTATACTTTTTGCAACTTATCGAAATGGTTATTTTCGGGAATGGGATCTTGTATCTGGACAAAATACCCATACAATTTTTACAAATCAAAAAGGTGGCATCAATTGCCTCTTCGTAGTTGATGGCAAAAAACAAAATTATGATCTAGATAAGATCCATATTTTTACTGGAGCACGAGACGGGTCTGTCAAATGTTGGATTCGTACAATTTGTGATGTAAATAACACGAGCATGTGGAATTTACTCTACACAATTTCAAGTGATTTTGGAAACGCGATAACTTGTATAGCTGCTAAAGTAATCAACGCAAAGATCGGTATTGTGGTTACCGGTGCTATAGATGGAGAGGTTAGAATATATGATTATCTCACTGGCCAACTTATCGAGATATTGAGTCACGGAACTTTTGAAAAAAAGAAACTTGCAAAAGAGAACAAAGCGCAATTATTATCTAAACGACAGCAACAGAAAAAAACAGACGACTTCTCTTCTGAACAAGATTTGTCTGAAAAAGATGTCGTTTCCCATAAGGATGAAATTACAAATATTATAATTCATCTATGCAAAGAAGAAAGTTGTCCATGTGGAAATACTGTGGAGGCTATCGGTTTTTCAATAATATCTTCTTCATTAGATGAAAAAGTGAATTTTTGGCAGTTAATCCGAAATGATGTGGACTGTGCGTGCATGAATTTCCAAATAGGAGAATTTACGATTAATGATTACGATATCGGAGACGCCGAACGAAAAGTTTCTTGGTGGGATAGTGCTGTAATAAAATTCATTGGGCTTGTGAGACAACCTGGCGGTTCGGCAATTGTTTTTCTTAAAAAAAATGTAATTGGAGTTCGTAGCGTTAAAAATTCACATATGCCCATTAAGAAATGTCATAGCACTGAAGGTGAATGGGAAGTCTGGTCTTTAGATATCGACAATCTTCGTACGCTGGAATCAACTGAAGAGATTGATAATTCCGATAATTCCGATCACATTGAGTTTAAAGTTAAAACCACTCCATTGGTTAAGGAAGATGATTTGATCGTGGAAGAGCAACGAAAAAACAAGAAACAACACGATAGTGAAAATGTAGAAGAATTAAAAGGATTTATTAGAAGGCGTAAAGGTATTTCTTTTAACAACCGTGATCAAAATTACCAGCTTGTTCATAAGGAAGAGGATTATGTGCAAGGCCAAGTTGTGGATTTTAGGCAACGAAGTCAGAAGCAACGTGTATATCCAGATAATAGTCGAAATATTAGAGAAGTTGATGAAATGGATGAAATGAATGAAATGTTACCATTTGCTTATGTACGACAAGTCGTCAGAGTGGGCGAGGATGGAATAGCTATCGCATATGGAAACTTTGTAAAAGTTATATCGTTTTAAGAGAAAATACATGCATATTATATTAAAATATATCATAGGTGACACTTTAAATCAATTGAATATTTACTAAGGTGTCACCTACATTATATTTATCTTAAATACGTACTGGACTAAAGTTCTTTTTGTAATAACCTTTGCAATATTATTATTACCAAATAATAAAATCTTCCGTGTGGCAAGCGTCTGTGTAAATTATATTCTTGATCTTTGTTATCAGACGCTTTGCATCCAAATCTTGTTATAACTTCTATACATACTTTAGAGTGAAATAGTGATGGCGCAAAAATTTAACGGTCCCGTGATTTTTATTCAATCTGATTGTAAGTTCAGTGTATAACATACAAATGCGAAGTAAAGCCGAAAAAAAAAACCAGAAATTGCAAAAAAAAAAAAAAAAAAAAAAACAAATCCGCAAGGGAAATTAATCTTATCATTATGTAACAATTTTCCGCACGAAAATTTAGATATATCCCTTCTATTTTGTATTAACTTAAATAGGATGTCATACTAAGCTATGCACGTCACGTGATCTCGAAAAATATTAAACAAAAAAATTTAGTTTGCATTACCTTAGAATTAGAAATGACGATAACGACAATGCCAAATTCAAATTTAACAGAAAGGTTTTTTTCAATAGCATTTTTACTCTATTTGAATTATAAATCAAAAAAAGAGATGATTAGGAAATTTTTATATTAGGACTCCAAAGCAGATTAAATTTTGAATAAATGAGATTTTTGCAAAGCGACATTGATTTGGATTTTTTACATTATACCTATAGTTGTTAGACGAAACCTTTTTCGTATGATGACGAAAGACGAAACCTAAACCCCCAAAAGACGAAACCTTAAACTAAAATGACGAAACCTAAGCTCTCAAAAAACGAAACCATTGTTAGTGCGCATGCTAAAAAAAAAAAAAAAAAAAAAAAAAAAAAAAAAAAAAAAAAAAAAAAAAAAAAAAAAAAAGATTTTTTTTTTTAAAAAAAAATCAAAAGATTTAGAGAACAAAACACCAAAATACAAAAAT